GCTGGGATTACAGCTGGGATTACATGTGTGTGCCACTGTGCCTGGCTTCCCCTGATGAAATTTTGGAGCATCTTATAATTTTTTTCCTGATCAAGTAAATGTTATTTTATTAAATTATTAATTTACTTGGTAAGAGTGAGTTGATTTGATCATTTTTTCCAGAAAAACTACTCTTGATTTTTGTGTCATCACGATCATCTGATTTTTTTTTTCCCTACCACACTTTCCATTCTTCCCTTCCCTTTGCTGGGTTTTCTTTTTCTCCTTCACAGCTACAAGTGGCAGCACCTTGCATTTGGCTTTGTTCTCTTTTTTCTATCCATTCTCTGCCTTATGTTCTCTTCCATATGGATTAAAATGTTCTCTTTCATACGGATTAAAAATCCTTCCCATGCCAATGACTCTAAAATCTTGTGTCTTCAATCTTTGTGTGTGTGTGTGTGTGTGTGTGTGTGTGTGTGTGTGTGTGTCTTCAATCTTGACATCTCCCCAAATTCCGGATATCTGATCCACATCTTCCTTTGCATGTGCAATACAAGTGGCTGTCATGTGAACAAAAAAAGGACTTCTAATTTTCTCTCAAAACTATTTCTTTCTTAGACTTGTCTTAGTTATTTAATTCATTATCTGCCCTGTTCAAGCGATTTCATGATCACCCCTCCACGTCCCTTTCACTCTTTTCTTTCTGTACAGACCAGCTTTTCTGCTGCATTTTACTTCCCAGACTGGTGGCCAGGTCTGAGTCCCAACTCCAGCACAGGCCTGGAAAAGTCACTTTGGACCTGCCCATGTCAGCTGTTTGTCCTGAATTACAGCAGCCAGAATAGGACAAAGGTCTATAATCAGGCTCCAGGCCTGCTAATGGGTGGGGCAGTTTTCAGAGAAGGGGGTTTTGTGGTACATGAGCAGGCATCCTAATAATGTTTACTATATAGTTTTATTTACCAAGTTTTCAAAAGTTTTATATTTATGACCCCTGCTTGATTTAAGCACTCATATAAAGAAATAGAAAGGATCATTCTTTTTATCAGTCATGATTGTAGTCCAAAGACTTTTTTTGTGTGCTCTTTCCTATTGAGTAAAATAGAAATTGGACTGATTTCCTAACCTGTCTTGACATAGGCCTTTCTCTAAAATCAGCTTTAGTAAGTTTTATTTCTTCCCTGAATATGCAGGTCCAGTTTAGACAGCATGTTCTTGCTAAGTAGGTCTCTGGGGGGTAACCAAATATATATGGGGCTATGTTGACTAAGTAGCCTTGAATTTGACAAGAGTCCATTAAAAGTATGTCTTTTATAACTCTGATACTGAGAAATGAAGGGGGGTGGGCACAAGTATAGGAATTCACCAAAGCTGGAGAAATCTACGGAGAGAAAAAAAAATAGAGCAAATACTCTAAATTTTGACAATTCAGTGAAGTCTGAAGGATGATAAAGTTTCACCTTTCCTTTGGCCAAAGTCTCTACCCAGGCAAAGACAGTGCGTCATGGCAGAGCTGGTTTATATACTACAAACTACAGCCTGTCTTTCAAAAAGATAGTGGCTCTCCTGCTAAACAAAGGGCAATAAGCCTCCTTCTTCATGAACTAGAATTACTCATCTTATTTCTTACCACTTCAGTCTCTTAATAGTAGTTTTCAAACGGAAATCTATGCTTTTTTTTTTTTTTTCTCCTGGGATGGGCCTTCCTGTCTAGCAATGTGGCCATTTCCATGTAATAATTACATAATTGTTATGGAAATTCCCTTTTAGAAGTATTACTTAAGAAAATTGGGCAACATTATTCCCCAAATCTTTTAACAATACCTATGTCAAACAGAATATAAATGATATTAACTGGGTTTGTGTGTGTGTGTGTGTGTGTGTGTGTGATTGTTGCTGTTAGAGAAAAATCAAA